CGCGGGGGGGGAGCCCGAGCCCCAGTCATGCAGGGCGGTGCGTATGGGGCGGGCGGCTCACAAGCCTTCGCCAGTTCCTACCCAACTGCTGTTAATACAAGCTAGGGTCCCTCTGCTTTTGAGGCCCCCTCTGTCTCGCCCGGCTGAAATAGAGAGAAACAAGCAGGGGGTCATTCTGCGGATCGCGGCTTCCACCCCCCCTCCGCCGTTTGGCAATCAGCGCTTCCGTTCCGGGTGGCAGATGATGCCATGGTTGCGCTTGGGGGGGGGGAATCTCTCACAACGGCTGATGGGGTGGGGTGAATGGCCAAGAGAAAGTGTTACTGGTTTACTTATTCACAGTGCTTATTTGCAATTTTGAAGCCTCGCCCTCTTGGTTCCCCCCCCAAGCCAGTTAAATCACAGTCAGTGCAGGGTTGCTGACTGTTCCCATAAGGTGACAAAACCTCCATGTCCAGAGGCAATCAACCTCTGAATACCCACGGTGAAAGGTGTGGGGCGCTTGCTTGACAAAACCTCCATGTTTAGGGATAGTCTACCTTTGAAGTGCCGCCTGGAGAGGGCAGGAACGTGGGAACCGACCGAGAGAGTCTTTTCTGTGCGCCCGATCAAAACGAGAAAAAGCCCTCTCGCCCGCCTACGAGGTTCGCAACCAACACAGCCGAACTTCAGGCAAAACGGGACTTTAAAAGCCAGGTGGACAAAAGGACAGCCCCTCTCCTTTTGCGGCCGGTGGCCAGCACCCTTCTTGGGGGGGGGGGGAAACAATACTGCCAAATAATGTGATCTTCCACGCCTGTAAATTGGCAGTTTCCTAGTAACAGGGTGCGAACCTCGCACTCGAAAGATGCTGGGTGAAAATTTGCAACCCGGGAAATCTTGCCAGTGTCCACTTCGGTTCAAAAGCCAACCCCCATCTTAGAAATAGCTACAGCACTGGATCTGGAAAAGGCTGATTCCAAAGGCGTTTTTTTCCCCCAGGAACAAGCGCAACACGAAAACACATCTCTCCCCGGTCATTCCCTAACAGCTTCTGGAGGATGAGAGGGCAATACAGAAAAGTCTGTGTTGCTTCAAAACATACTGCAAAGGCTGTCCATCCTGGAAAAGGGGGACACAAACCTGTTACTAAGATTCACCACCACGGATGGTGGGCGACTCCCAATTCTGGAGACACTGCAAATCCACTCCAGGTCTTAGTCTACAGTTGGGGGCGGGGCGGGGCTGAACGACCCAATCGCATACTTTTCTATATGAGGTCCAGCACCTTGGAGAACGCCTGCAAGGCACTGACTAAAACCTGGAGTGGATTCACAGCACCTCCGGAACTGGAGTCACCATTGTCCTTAACGGAGAAAAGCTTGGGGGGGGGTCTCAACAGTCAGCAAGGGGTGCTTTAGATCTCCCCATGCTGAGATATATAGGTATGGTGGCAGCTGTGGGACCTGTAGATGGATCTAGATTGTATGGAACTCCCTCCCACTGGAGGCCAGCCTGGCCCCCTCTCTTTGTTGCCCTTCTGCAAGCAGGCAAAGACCTTTCTCGTTGGGCAATTGTTGCAAGCCACACTTTTTCAGGAGAAAGGCAGCTTAAAAAATATTTCAAATAAATACATAAATAAATATTCTATCAATCTGATCTTGCTTTAACGGTCACAGCCTACCAGATCTTGGGATATAGCGTACGAAAAGCAGAGAAGAAAGCCTAAATATTATATGTGTTTTTTAAAATAATAATAAATCAAATAAATGCCTTTCTACAATGCAAAATTTAAATTGATTTGAGCTTCCATGGCTGGAATCTTATTGCTGATTTACATCATTGGAAGGGAAATCATATACATCTTGGTGGCAGATGGTGCTGGATGCGTTCCTGGCCTCTTGCATTCAGGAATGCCACCAGCACCTTCTTGATGTGTAGCAACGCAGAACGGAAAACTAAAGTAAACAATTTAAACTCGCATGCTAAAGCACGAAACTAGCATATCCACAATGAACTGCAAACCGGCCATTAAGGTTTATACAATCTCCCATACACAATTGTAGATTCGGTAGTAGCGTTCAAGCTGGTTCCACTTTCCAAGGGTATCTTACGAACTGTAATTCTGCAGAGTCCCTAACAATCTGTAACACAGAATTCAAGGCACCGCACTAAACTATCTGAAAATGACCTTAATTCTATAAAGATGCATCATTTTCAATAGCCCAAAATATAAAATGACATATGCAAGACATGTTTTGATCCTACATTTGTTAAAAGTTTACTTTGGTGTATGCTGGATTCGATTTAAATCATGATTTCATTCTTTCCATTTAAATCAGAAAAACTGATTCTTAAAACCTGTCATTTAAGACAATTTGATTTTTTAAAAAGAATCATTGACTTTTATCCACTCTGCTTTGGTTACAATTTATACATGTTTGCATGACAAAACCAAAGTTTTAAAAGTTTATAAAAAATATTTAAAGAATACATTCCTTAAACACCAAACACAATTCCACTTTGTGAACGCTTATGTCCCAGTAGAGACCACGAAACTGTCTAGAAGGCCAAAGGAAAATATAAAATAATTCATGGGACCGCCATTAATTAATAACGTATGCTTTGCATAACTTGTACATGATTTTCATGAACACAGTTAGCCATACAATTTCACGAAACACTCCGCAAACTGAAGATCTCCAGTGTCAATAAAACTTAAAACTCTACCAGAGCAATCTGAACTTGTAATTTCTCTATAATCATCTACACCTATGGCGTAAAATAATAAGAGGGTGCGGCTTTCTGGAAAAGTGCAAGGGTTTCATCTATCAGCTATGAGCCATGATGGGGAAAAAATAACGCTCCTTATTCAGGGGCAGTTTGCCTCTAAGTAGCCAATGCAACCCACCTCTTAAAACAGAGGGAACCCCAGGAAAGTCGAGCCCCCCCCCCCCAACTGCACAGAGAACTGTGTCATTTGGATTTGGACCAGGAAACCCGACGCAAAGCAGTCAATCTAATATTCTGAATTACTCCCGATTTTATTGCGTGCTGAGCGAAACATTTTGAGTTGGGAAGCATATCCACAGAGAGCAAGAATCTACACAGACTCAACGTCGCCTGGACTTCTGTCTCTCCGCCTTCCATCTCCTCCACCCACTCCACGGTGGACCTCCTACCCACCTGAATCTCCTACTCTTTGCTTCCGGGTGAAAAATGGAGCATCATCGGAGGCACAAAAAACTTCCAGATGAGACACAGCCCTATGTCTATAGCATGGCTAACTCTCTCTGATCAACGCTAGCATCCAAACCCGACAACTCAAAATAGTGCTGCAAGAAATAAACGATGCCCAGACCCACCACGGAGGGTGACTGCTACACCCCTGAATGATATACAATTCTTAAGAGTAGCCCATCAGCTCCACATGAGGCCACACTCCTGCGCTGAGTGGGTCACCAAGCACGCTCAGAAGCCAGCAGTGCTGAAATTGCCTTCCACGGGTTGCAGGCCTAGCTGGGACTCATACAGAGAGACGACGCAGCCTCTCTCCCTCCTCCGCTTCGCAGACGGAGAAGGCGTGCCACAGGCCCCTGAACGAATTCAAAAATTGGGGGGGTTTCAAATCATCCAAAAATTCAATTAAAAAAAATTTTAATTGTGCTTTAAATCAAATGCATCCTGGAACGTACGGGATATTACCTGAGAAAACATACCCATAAATCCTTTAGGCAAAAGTGCTTGAAATACAGTGCTACCACAAAATAAATGAATAAAAATCTAGAGAAATATATGAATTTGCGGGGGGGGGGGAGGAAATACCTAAAATTACAGATGTTTTGTGCAGACCTTGAGGGAAAAAAGCATCTAATATTCATCCCCAAATGGCAGCTAAACCAAGAACAACGTAAGTTACTCAACTAAACCAGGTTAACTTTTTAATTTTTTTACACACACATACACACACAGTGGCCAGATCTGGTCATAGAACATGGAATTTAACCCAGACTTTGGAGCGCATCCCAATCCACAACTGAAACGCACATCTTTGGCAGAAAAAAAAAAAACATTTTAATCTGTTTGTCTCTTCGATCGATTTCCCAGGCTGCCTTTCTCCCGATTAGGGCCCCCCCAAGATGGCTCCCAATGTTATTTTTAACATTTGAGATGCATATCCATGCTGCTTTCCTGGGTCAAAGCAGGTAAGGTTGCAGATAAACCCATAAGGAAAAAGACAGTTTTGGTAGCTTAATGATTAAGCTAAGCATTGAGGCTTAAGATGATGGCAAGAGTCACGACAACTTAGAATTGCGAAGCCGGAAGGGACCCGGTGGATCATCCGGTGGATCATCCTCCACATCAAGGAGGCCCAAGGGGGGATTCGAACTTGCCGCCGAGCTATTCAGTCATTCATTAAGGATCATCGTCATGATGTCAGAACTGCACAGCTGGAAAGGACCTCGTGGATCACGGAGTCCAGCCTCTCTCAAGGAGGCCTTGGGAGGATTTGAACTCTCAACCTCGTGCAGGCTTAAATTACCTCACAGGGCAGGCGTGAGGCTCACGTTGATCTGCTGGTGAGGAGATCCGTGTAGGTTTCCCTGCGTAGCTTGTAACCAAGCTGCAACATGGATCCAAAGAATAAATAAATTCGCAATTTTAACTCCCGACAAGTCATCGCTACTTAAACTCTCACAAAAACAGCTGATAAAAACCAGAAAAACCTACAGCCATTTCGGAGTGTCAAAAGGCCTTCTGGTGACCCCAATCCTGAGAGCAGATGGACGGATCTGAGGAAGTGGATCTCCTTACGGATCAGGACCTGCATCAACTTTTGATGATGATGGGGGGGGGGGGGGAATAATAAAATTCTGCCTGTCCACACAGGGAGCGCCAGTGGAAAAGTTCCAACACACGGTCGTTAAAAATACCTTCAGAGTTAAGTTTGTTTCCCACTCAGAACCAATGTTGGCAGAAGTCGTCAAGGGCCACCCATGATGCCATGCAGCGCAGTAGTCTATACGGGACCTTGCCCAGCTATTCTGAGGAGGCTTTGCCAGATCTTCCAGGACAAACGTTTCATAAAATGGGAACCAGAGGGGGAAAAAGTGAAAGAACAAGAAAATCAAATAACAGCAAAACTTAGAAATCTATCTACCTCACACTCTTAACAGTGTCTTGGCCTCCTTAGGCGTTATCTATATGAAGCGAGCCCCCGGTTTGACTCCAATTTGATCTGGGTACTAGGTGACCGTGGTCAAGTAAAGTACGGGGGAAATTAGATCGGAAGGTAAGTAATAAACATGATTTATTACTTTTCTGATATAAACACCAGGCCTGTTATTGGCAAGATCTTCAAGCGGTCGCCTAAGGGATGTACAGATCGCCCTAGGTGGGAAGCAACGACCACAGCATCCAACCCTAATCCACACCAAGAGGTAATTGGTTCGCCAAAGGAATAGTTGTCAAATTTTGAAAGGTTGAGCCGTCCTTCCTCTGTTCTCAATTCAGACTCCAGGCACACCTTTCAATCTTACACCAGGAAAGTTTATAGAGAACCCTATTAAAGTGTCTTGGACGATTCACCCAGGAAGAGCCAGCACGAATCCCTGTTCTGTACGTCGCTCTTCCACGAGAGCACCCCAAGTTCCAGAAGGGCGAGTCCGTGCAAATACACGCCGAGGAACCTCCTCTGAACGCACATCTCGGGTCTGAATGGAGAATGTGTTTGTGACGCGCGGCTAGGAGACACGGTGGAGTATTATCAGCGGATAACCGTCATAAGGCCAGAACGGCCATTCATACAGAGATGCGCCCGTGACCTTCCTCTTGGAGCAGCTCACTGCAGCTTCTAAGGGCCCATCGTCCCCTATTCTCCCATGGTGCACAGTGAAGTTGAGCAGCAAGCGCAGCTGCTACTTCTTGCAGAGTCTACTCGCGAGGCTCCCAGCACAGGTGGGAGACACGGCGCCACATGTTCCACCCCCCTTTGCCACCTCCCACTTTAAAACACCTGCCAACACAGCCTATGATTCCCAGTGTGGTGGGTTCACATGTAACCCCTCCAGCAAACCATTTTATGTTTGTCAACAAAGCAGCAGGAAGCCAGATATCCCTCCAAACACCAAGGAGGAAACAATGTCCAATTTTGAGCCAAAACATGAAATCAAAAGCAACAAAAAAGTAGCAATTCGACCGAAAGCCACCATGAGCTCTGAAACGGTGAAACGGGGTTTATCAAACCGGTTCGGTGCCTCCGTTGCGCATGCTTTTGGGGAGGTTCAAACAAGAAGCGTTCTGTGTCACCCCAAAACTGGCACTGTTTTCTCACACTACCCAAATCTGGGGCTACCTTCAAGAGCGCATGGAGGTGAATTTCTGGAAGATACAGCACCTCACCTATCGTTCGGTTTACTCTCCGACACTGAAAAAGCAACCCATGTCTAGCGCAGCAGATGGATGAACCGGAGACGTTTCCCCCACGCAGGAAGGGGTCCCCGAAATGCTCTCCCCACCTCTGGATCGGCCGCAAAGCACGTGCTCCATTTCTCTCTCTCTCTCAGAAAAAGAATATGTCTTCCCACCTTTCCAAGGCCTTCCTGTAGGCCCAGGCGACAAATCACAACCGAACCGAAAAGCCGGAACTTGAAGGGGGAGAGAGAGAGAGAGAGAGGAAATATGACATTTTTGGCTAAGTCTCATCTCCAGAGGAAAACAGAAGTAAACAATAGATATTGCTCAAGCCCGGCCTTCAATTAATTAATGCACTCACCAAAAATGCCCGCACACATTTCCAAACACCCAAGGCACCCCCCCTTCCCCTCCCCACATCATCCTCCAAAAATAAATTCATACTTCCCTTAATATATACCTTTGCTGCTTTTAGCCTGAGGGAGGAACGCTTCTATCAGCCGGCACAGATCATCTTCTATAAATTTAGATTAAAATTATCTTATCTATGTATCAGCACTATATATATCTATACCTACATGTATATAAATATATATATATATATGTACATACATGGGGGAGGGATCGAGAGAGACGCATACGAAACACAGATACAAAATGCTATCTTCAGTCAAAACATAGACTTTTCTCTACAAAACTGCAGACACAAGAGGCAGAATAGCAGCAAACTCACCATTTTTCCCCTTCCCTAAAAAGCTGCAGATTCTCCACTCTTAAAACAACACATCCTCTTTTGAAGAAGCTGATTTCCAAACCATTTCAACCCCCCCCACATGCGCAAACGTGGCATTTCCAAAAAACAAAAACACCACCCAACACTCTCTTTAAAAGATGAGAAAAAGAATAAAAAAGAATTAAAAGGCATGCGTTTCCACCCCAACCTTTACTGAAACAAAAGGCGCATTTTTTTCCCTAGCACCGAAGATTCAACACACTCTCCCTTCCCTCCCGCCCTTCAATCCATACACACACACACACGGAAGGAATAAAATTAAATTAAAATTACATTTCAGGGGCTGGAGAGCCGAGGAGAGCGCGCTCCGTTCATCCACATTTGCATGGCCAACTTCTGCATAAGTTTTAACTTTCGGTCTGCAAAACCGTCTTTCCTATGGATTTATTTATTTAGGCTTTGTTTTGTTTCGTTTGTTGTTGTTTTTTTTTAAACCAAAGTACAAATCACATGCAAGTGTCGGTGCAGGAATATATATATTAAAAGCCACGGATCCAACCACCGTGCAACATCGCTTGCACGCGCGCCCGCGCGCGCACCCACCACACACCAATTATGCAAAGCCAGGAAGATTGCAAATTTATCTAGATCTCTCTCTTTTTAGATCGCATGAACACAAAATCTCTTTTGCAAGGCGACCCTCCAGGCCCCCCCTCCCCTCCGCCGCCTCTCCTACAAGCTCAGCCAGTTTTTATTTAAAAAAAAAAAATTTGGAGACAAAAGGGGGGAAAAAAAACATGGCAGCCTGGCTTTATTTTTAAAACAGAACAGGGACGCCATATTCTGCAGGAAAAAAAAGAGAGAGAGAGAGAGAAAGAGAGAGAGACCAAGAGGGAGAAATCTCAGACTTTCCTATTCCAGTCCAGGAGGGGGTGGATTTAAAAAATATTTAACCCAACCCCCCCAAAAAAAATACACACACCCCCACTGCAAAAGTATAAAGTCAGAGGGGGGATTTTTTTTTGCAAAAAATAGAAAAAATCTATATATTTTTTTTCTCTAAAAGTTCATGCTGATCCTTTTTTTTCCTGCACTGGTCGGAGGGACTCCCAACCCGTGGGTTTGTTTGGGTCTCCTCTGATGTTGCAATTTTTTTTCCTTCCTCCCCCTCTTTCCTCTCTCTCTCTCTCTCTCCCTCTTTATTTTGAATAGCCCGGCTTTTTGTTTATTTAAAAAAAAGAGAGACACTTCCTATACCAATACACATGCTCCGCTTGGAAATTGCCAGCCAGCCCAGCGGTCCGTCTTGCAAAGGAAGAAAAGAAGCAAACCGCCCCCCCTCCTCCTCCTCCTCTCTTTGGCGTCCTCTTCCTTCCTTCCTCCGGTCCTTCCTCCTCCTCCTCCTTTTCCCGCCCTATACGTCGCGGGGGGTTTTTGGGGAGGGGGGAAAAAACCAAGAAAAAAAAAAACAAGGGAGACCCCCCTTTTTTTCCCCTCCCTCTGCTCAGCTCTCTTGCAAATGCATGCACGCCATGTACAAAATATACATATTTTTTCTTCCCCTTTGCAAGCTTGGTTCTGGCATGCATGCATTTTTTTTGCAAGGTTGGGCATGCAACTTTGCAACGGGGACGCGGTTTGGCAAGACCCCCCTTCCTAACCCCTAGACACCCCCCATACACAATGCCCCCCCTTCTTGCTTCTCAAAAACTACCCTGAGAGTTTGGCTTTTTTAAAAAAAAATCATTATTTTTTTTTAGGAATGAAGAATACACACCTTCGATTGCAGAGTTTTGGAAACGGTGGGCTTTTTTTCGTTTGCAAACAGACATGGGGGTGGAGGAGGGAGGAAGCTGGGGCTCTGGAAAATCAGAATAAACCCACTCCCAAATTGAGAAGGGAGGGGTGGGGGGAGCAGATTTCCCCCCTTAAAACACCCCCCCAAAAAACCCCACCCTGCCTAGGCAGAGGGTCTCTCTCTTTTTTTTTCTATTTTTTTCCCCAACCCTCCTGTCTTCCTCCCTCCCCTCCTTTCTTGATGAGAAGTCTTTCTAGTTTCAAATCTTCCGGGTCGCTCTTCAATTCACTTCTGGTACTCTACACACATACACGCACACACACACACAAAACATCATGATAATATAAGGGAGCACAAGCCATGCCTTGCGTCCAATCCAGCGGAAAAAAAAAGCATGCAAGAAAATCCATCTTTCCTTTTATATACGAAAAAAATCGCAATAAGTTCTTCCTTCTTTTGGAAAAAAAAAACAGAGCAAACCCACCGAAATGATTCTTGCAAAAATTTTTTGCAGGAAAAGCAGAGAATCTTCTGTTTTTTTTTCTTAATTTCTTTTTGATTCTTGCTTCTTCTCCTTCACCTCCCCCCCCCCCAGAAATACAGTATTTTGATTTTTTTTTCCCTCTCTCTGTTCCTTACTTGGCAGAGTCTTTCTCCCCCATCTCCCTCCCTGCTCAAAACGTGCCCCTTCTTTTGAAAATAAGTTTTGCAAAATGGGCAAACCCTGCCCCATCCACCGGAGAGGCTGAGGGTGGGGAGGAAAGAGAGGGAGGGAGAGAAGGGAGCCCTTGGAAATGAAAACATTGGGATGGTGGAGTGGAAAATGATGTTTATTTTTCTCCCTTCCCCCCCCCCTTTGGAGGATGGGGAGGGTCCTGCGTTTGGCTGGTTGCACATTGCATGCAAGGATTAAAAAAAATTAGGAGGGGAGATACTTAGTACGGAGACTTGGTGCTAGTCGGCTTCAAAGCTGATTTCCCTCACCCATTGCATTCCATGGGGATTATTTATTTATCTATCTATCTATCTATTTATTTATTTATTTGATTCGTATCACGCCCATCTGGTCTATACGACCACTCTAGGTGGCTTCCAGTATGACATAACTACTGTACAGTACAATAAAATAACACAAAAAATATTACATAAGACAACCAGTAACAAATTATAATACAAAAATTGAGTAAGAAAGAAAAAAAGAATAAAAGAAAAATCAAGTATGGACAGGAAGGAAGGCCTGAATATGCATCCATGTTTTTTATTTTTTTTAATTTTAAACACAGCCCCTCTGTGATCTGCTCTCCCCCCAACCCCAAATATTGCAACCCTCACCCTAAGTTGCCTCCCCAGCACCAGGTCCTCTTTGAAAAAATGAAATGAAATATATCATTCAAAGGGAGCCATGCAAGTTTGTTGCACAGAGGCGGCTGTGCGGTGTGGGAGCATGACTGCCTATGGGGTGGGAGGCTTAATGGAACCTCTGGGTGTCATGGCAGTCTACCTCTGAAGGAACCATTGCTGGGAACCCGCAAGCTCTAGGCTGGTTGTTCTGTGTTTGGCCCCATGGTTAGCCTGCCTTTCCCCCAGTGAGATGAAGGGGCCTTCCCCGCCTCTCGACATCTTCCCTTACAGTGACAGCCCTGCGAGGTAGCGCAGGCCGAGACAGAGAGAGCGCAGTTCGAACCCAGGGGATCTTCCTTGAACTGAACGTGGAAATCCCAGAAAGTTCTGGATTCATGGTTTGAAGGGGTCGACGCTCATTTAAAACGTGGTTCGTGTTATAAATTTTGTGTTAAATGACACCCTGGGCTCTGGGCAATGTAAAGAATGTGGGCTCTCTTGCATTTTCCTCACGACGGCCCTGCGAGGTAGGCTGTTTCATGAGCCCCTTCCATTTTATATGCGCACAGTATTTTCTCTGATCGCCCCCCCCAAAAAAATATCAGCACAGACCCTTCAGAATGGGATGGCCTCCCTCAGAGGGGTCTGACTCCCGCCCCATCATCCCCGCACAGAATAGCAGGGAGGATGGGGCTTGTAGTCAAACCAATCTCCCCAAAGGGGGAATACAGTGGGGTCTTGACTTGAGAACTTAATCCGTATTGGAAGGCGGTTCTCAAGTCAAAAAGTTCTCAGGTCAAATCTGCATTTCCCATAGGAATGCATTGAAAACCATTTGATCCGTATCTGCTCTTTTCCGTCCATAGAAACTAATGGGAAGCTGCTATTCTGTCTTCGACCACTAGAGGGGGATATTTTGTTTCTTTTTTTCTTCGGTCAAGAAAGGTTCAGGGAAGGCAGGGAAAATACAGTCCAGGCAGTACCAGGCAGTCTGAAGACTGTCTCCCAATCCACTCTCTAAATGCTGGGAGGAGTGAGGAAGCAGAGAGGCACCCTTTTCACTGGACAACAGTTAACTGAAAGTTCACATTTTGCACTTTCCCTGCCTCCCACGTGGTTTTTTTTCAGTTCTTAACTCAAATCTAAGTATGTAAGTCAAGTCAATATTTTCCTATGAGAGTGGTTCTTAAGTCAAAATGTTCTTAACTCGAGCCGTTCTTAAGTCAAGACCCCACTGTAAAGGTAAAAGTTAAAGGTTCCCCTTGACAATTTTTTGTCCAGTTGTGTTCGACTCTATGGGGTGGTGCTCATCCCCGTTTCCAAGCCATAGAGCCAGCGTTTTGTTCGAAGACAATCCGTAGTCACATGGCCAGTGCGACTTAGACACGGAACGCTGTTACCTTCTCACCGAGGTGGTCCCTATTTATCTACTTGCATTTGCATGCTTTCGAACCGCTAGGTTGGCGGGAGCTGGGACAAGCGACGGGAGCTCACTCTGTCGCGTGGATTCGATCTTACAACTGCTTGGTCTTCTGACCCTGCAGCACAGGCTTCTGCGGTTTAGCCCACAGTGCCACCACGTCCTAAGGGAGAATACAGCTCATGAAACATGAAGATAGATAGCCAGCACTCTACAGAGCAATGGTCTCTGGCTCCGTCTAGTGGCCAGTTCTGGTAACGTCACCTTTAGAAATGTATCCAATTGCTAGGATTTTTTTAAAAAATGTTTTTAATATTTTCAGACCGTGGATAAGTGAATCACTGGATCCTGATCCTGCAGAGACCTCATGTCCAAGCCTGGTTTAAATATAAAAAAGGACAGGGGAGATCAGGGATAATTCCCATCATCCACCGGACAGTAAACTCATCAGCAGGTCCCTGGATCATGGTCTAGACTGAGTGCTCTTTAAATTATATGAGCTCCTGTCTCATTTTGCTTCCGGACCTGCAAACGAGGACGGTGCTGTTGTACACAAATCCGTGCTTGGTTTTGTCCTCCTTTTGGGCGATGAGCAAGCGGCCACCTTATGCCTCCCGCTGCACCGGGCAGTTAATAGCTGCCATTGCTCTGTATTTCTCCTGTGACCAAATAAATAAAATAAAATAAATAAGTCCTTCTGTGTTAGAAAACGTAATGCCCAGCTTTCCAAGATGCTCGCAGCTCTCTTCCCTTTTTACATCCAAGATAGATGGGTTGGGGGGGGGAAGAAACATATGTATTTCTGCTACCCATAATTACATGTCCTCATATTCTCATTTGAGTTGATGAATGACCAAATGGTGAACATGGGCTTAATGAATCCCAGGACGTACGTGTGTGTGTGTGTGTGTGTGTGTGTGTGTGTGTGTGTGTGTGTGTGTGTGTGTGTGTGTGTGTGTGTGTGAGTGAGAGAGAGAGAGAGAGAGAG